ATGGGTGACCCTGCTGATTATTTAAAACACCGGTGGCATAGCCCTCAGAATCACAGCAACTCAAACCACCACAGCACGACAGACAGACGAGTGGTGGCGACAGACAGAACTGCTACATATGATTTCTAAGACGATAAATTCTTGAGGGAACAAACTACCTCATCTTTCTCTCCTTTGAGCAGCTGGTGGCTTTGAACCGCTGACCTTATACTTAACCCATAGTGCCATAAAAATACAGACCATGCAAAGAGGCAGAGGCCTGGAACATGGATAGGGATTCTCAGAGGAGGCAATGAAGAACTAAAGAGAAACAGGCTCAGAAGCCTCAAGGGGGAAGATGGCACGGATCAATGGAAAGAGACTTAGTTAGATGGTCTCTGATGGAGATAGAGATAGAGATATAAAGCCACTAGATAGGTATAGGTAAGACAGTTAAGAAATAAGGAGTCCAGGTAGTGCAATAGTTGAACATTAAGCATTCAGCTGCTAACGTAAAGGTTAGTGGTTCAAATCCACCTCGGGACTCCATGAGAGAAAGACGTGGTAATCTGCTTGTGTAAAGATGGTTTGTTGGTTGGTGCTGTTGAGTGGCTTCTGGCTCCTAACAACCTTACGTACACCAGAACGAAACACTGCCCACTTCTGCATCATCCTCATATTTTTTGCTGCCACTGTGTTAGTCCACCTCCTTGAGGGTCTTCCTCTTCGGCACTGACCCTCCACTTGACCAAGCATGATGTCCTCCTTCCTGACAACATGGTCAAATCATGAGAGGTGAAGTCTCAGCATTCTCGCTTCCAAGGGGCAATTCATTCACTGGTTACCCATGATATAATCAATATTCTTCACCATCACCATAATGCGAATGCATCAGTTATTCTCAGGTCTTCCTTATTCATTGCCCATCTTTCACATGCATATGAGGTGACTGAAGATACTTAGTCCTCAAAGTGACATCTTTGCTTCTTAACACTTTAAAGAGATATTTTGCAGCAGATTTTCCTAATGCAATATGTCATTTGATTCTTAGCAGTTGCTTCCATGAGTGCTGATTGTGGATCCAAATAAAAATAAATCTTTGACAACTTCAATCGTATTTACCTATTATCATGATGATCTATTAGTCCAGTTGTAAGGGTTTTTTTTTCCTTTCTTTTCCTTACATTCAGGTTCATTCTTTCAATACTGAAGGCTGATGTTTTTGATCTTCAGCAATAAAAACTTCAAGCCTTCTTTGCTTCCACATGCAG